GCCGGGCACGGTAAGACAGTGGAGAAGCTAGCAAGGATAGGACCCCCAGACGGGTCCGCCAGGGAGACTGCAACTGGCCGACTAAGCGGCGTAAGCGTGGTGCGGTCTCGAAAGAAGGAGCGGGACGCACCCGAGTCAAGGGTGAAGGTGTGTAAGGCCTGAGCCGACGTAGTACCTGAGAGAGCAGACTCACCAGCACCTGGGGTAGTAGACGCACTAGCACCTGGGGCAGCAGACGCACTAGCACCTAGAGCAGCAACCTCACCAGCACCAAGAGGAGTAGCCTCAATGCTCAGGTCAGGCGGTACACACAGGTAACAGTCACCCTCAACACTAGTAGTCACAGCATACATGGCAGCAAGGATAGCATCATAGTCAAGATCAAAGATGGCAACCCCCGCCCTAGACAGATCTCCCCAGCGAGGGATCTCTGACGCCTCAGGAAACTGGTGATGCCACGCGTCTGTTATGCGGCCGAAGCAGCTCTGGGTGGAGTGCGGACCCCCGCACTGCTCACTAGCGCGGTCGCCGGTACGAAGGACGTAAGTGCAGGGACCAGTACCCCCACCGCGCTGACGCGCAGCGTACCACTCACGAAGCTGCTGAGGGGACGGGGTCTCACGACCGCGCTGCAGCTGCTGGCGCGGACCACCACCGGACCCACTCCTCTGCGCAGAGTCGCGACTAGCTCCACCGCCGCCGCCGCCGCCGCATCCGCTCCCGCCGCCACCACCGCCGCCTCCTCCGCCTCCACTGCTGCCACGGCCGCCGCCACCCTCGCCACCACTCCCACCACCACCCCCACTCCCTCCACTGCCTCCACCACCACCTCCACCGCCCCCGCTAGCCCCTCGATCTCCCTTGCCCCCCTTGCCCTTGCCGGTGCGGCGTCTCCCGCTAGAGGCAGACGGAGCGCCGACCCCGTAGAAAACAACGAGATCGGCAGCAGCAGCAGAAGCAACAGAGGACAAGAGGGGGGAGGGGGAACACCCCTCAAAGACGGGGGTGCGAGGGTCACCACGAGAGGCTCCTACAGCTACAATGCTCTTTTCTGCTGCTAGGAGGCACTCCTCGAGGAGGTCAACGGTGAGAGTGGTGGGGCAAACTGAGAGGAAGTGGTCCCTGACTAAGCGAAGAGAGTCAGGGAGCCGGGTGACTATGTAGTAGAGGGTGATGTACATGGGGGGGGGGGGGGGGGGGTTCTTGGCGCAGAACTCAGCAGGAAGCGCAGCGCGGTAGCGAGTGTTACTAGTGTGGAGGTGCGTAATGAGGTTAGCGACTGTGGGAAAGGCAGCAAGGTCAGGGAAGAGGTACGGTAGCATGAGGCGGCTCAGTGTAGCAGTGGCAGGGGAAGAGTAGCGTGCAACTACAGCGTCGTACAAGGTCTGAGCACTCTTGTACTGGCTAAAGTGTGCACGCTTAGTGGTCGGTAAGTGGCGACGCACAGCAAGACGGGCAGCAGCATTGCGTGTCGCCCACTGTGAGCGAACAGTGCTGTCAGCAGTAGCAGGCGGGGTAGGGGAGGCACCAGAGTTGAGGTCGAACAGAGAGGCCATCTGCCCTATCGCACTGGAGGAACATCTGGAGGTTATCGACCCAGACCTCAAACTCAATAGCACGACCCTCAGTGTCAAAGGTAAGAACACTGGGGGTAGCCATGACTGCAGAGGTCTAGCAAGGAGTGAGCTCACCAGTACGAGGAAGTAGGGCCGGGGCTCGCCGGTAGGACTGGTAGCAGCTCGACGACAGGGCGGCTCGGCGGTCGGGCGGCTCGGCGGTCGGGCGGCTCGGCGGTGCGGCTGCTGGGCGGCTCGGCTGCTGGGCGGCTCGGCTGTCGAGCGGCTCGGCGGTCGGGCGGCTCGGCGGTTCGGCTGCTGGGCGGCTCGACGGTAGGGCGGCTCGGCGGCTAGGCGGCTCGGCTGCTTGGCAGCTCGGCGGCTCTGCTGCTGGGCGGCTTGGCGGCTCTGCTGCTGGGCGGCTTGGCGGCTCTGCTGCTGGGCGGCTCGGCGGCTCTACTGCTGTGCTGCTCGGTAGAGGCGGCGTCGGGGCCACTAGGGTCAGCGACGGGGCCACTTAGGGAGGTGAGCGGCGACGGGGCCGCTTTGGAGGCGGCGTCGGGGCCGCTTAGGGGCGGCGACGGGGCCGCTTAGGAGCGGTAGCGGGGCCGCTTAGGGGCGGTGACGGGACCGCGAGGGGTGGCGACGGGGCCTCTTAGGGGCGGCGACGGGGCCGCTAGGGGCGGCGACGGGGCCGCTAGGGGCGGCGACGGGGCCTCTTAGGGGCGACGACGGGGCTGTTGAGGGTGAGAGGCGGCGACGGGGCCGCTAAGGGCGGCGACGGGGCCGCGGAGGGGCGGCGACAGGGTTGCGTAGGGGCGGCAACGGGGCCGAGTAGGGTGAGAGGCGGCGACGGGGCCGCTAGGGGCGGCGACGGGGCCGCTAATGGTGGCGTCGAGGCCGCGTAGGGGCGGTAACGAGGCCGCGTGAGGGGCGGCGATGAGGCCGCTAGGGGCCACTAGGTGCCTGGAGAGGGCGGCGAAAGGCGCGCCTCGGGCAGGACCGACTGGCGCTCCGGTCAGAAAGGAAATTTTCAGTGGTGGGCCCATGGAAGCGTTTCCACTAGGAAACCTGCTCTATACCATGTGAAGAATGAGGAATGAATGAACTAGCACAAGGTTGGGTACAAGTAGGAAACCCTAGGAAACTGTACCCCATAGTGTCTACCCCACTATAGCCTACACAAGCTATATAATATGACAAGTAGAAGGCAATTCAGTGACAACCGAAAAGCCTAAACTTCGGCGCACTCAACCTGTTTCGGTGTCTAAAAATTTTAATAGTTCAGCACGCCGAATGTATCTGGAGTCACCATCGCCTCAATGCGAGAGGGACCACAGAAGCGAGGCGGGAGCTTGGACGGAAGATGAGACAAGTCCAAGTTGCGTGTGTCAAGAAGCACCTGATCTCCGACTCCTACTAAGTGATCTCTTTGCTGTCGATCGGCATACTTCTTCTGGGAGTTCTACATCGTGGTGAGATGTTGCTGAGTTTTCTTCCACAGTTGTTGCATGGTGGTGATGAAGTCGTGTGCGGCTTGGATGTGTGCCGGTGTGGTCAGCTGCTGTGGTGTAAGAGGTTCCCATTCGTAGCACAGGAAGAAAGGAGATTTTCCTATGGCCGCGTGTGAAGCGTTGTTGTAAGCGAACTCAAGCATCGGTAATTGTAGATCCCAGTGTCAAACTTATATGCTATAGTCTGTGTAGGCTGTAATGGGGTAGACAATATGGGGTACAACACTTTTAGGTTTTCCTACTTGTACCCACCTGTTTCCTAGTGCATTCATACCTCATTTCTTAACATGGTATAGAGCACGTTCCCTAGTGGGAACGCTTCCTAGGGCCCACCACTGAAAAGCGATTTTATTTTATTTTTTTCTGACCGGAGCGCGAGTCGCCCCTGCCCGAGGCGCGCCCCGTGGGCCGCCCTCTCGTCGCGTCCCCTGCCCTTAACGGCCCGTCGCGCCCTCCTAGAGACCCCTCTCACGGCCCCTCGCGCCACCCCTAGCGGCCCCGTCGCCACCCTTTGCGGCCCCGTCGCCGCCTCTAGCGGCCCCGTCGCCGCCCCTTGCGGCTCCGTTTCCGCCCCTCGCGGCCCCGTCGCCGCCCGTTACGGCCCCGTTGCCGCCCTTCGCGGCACCGTCGGCGCCCCTAGCGGCTCCGTCGCCGCCCCTCGCGGCCCCGTCGCCGCCCCTCGCGGCCGCGTCGCCGCCCTTCGCAGCCCCGTCGCCGCCCATTGCGGCCCCGTCGCCGCCCTTCGCGGCCCCGTCGCCGCCCGTTGCGGCCCCGTCCCCGCTCTTCTCGGCTCCTCGTGGCCCCTTCGCGGCCCCGTCGCCACCCTACGTGGCCCCTCCACGGTCCCAGCAACAGCAGCGGCCACCTCTACCGCTGCAGCCACCGCCGCTGCCGACTACAGCCGCCTCTGCTGCCGACCACCACCGCCGTTGCCGCCGTCGCTGCCGCTCCTGAAGCCGCAACCGCCGCCGCCGCAACCGAGACAGCAGCCGCCGCAACCGCCACAGCCGCTGTCGCCGCCGCCGCCGCCACTGTTGCGGTCCTATCCTTGCACACGCGCCTCGGCCTTGCCTCACCACCTGCGGGCCTCTACCTACCCGCCCTGGTAAGGGCACTCCTGAGCAGCGCCTCCACCACCGCCTTGCTCTTACTGCTAGTCTGCTGCTGCCACTGCTGCCATGGCTACTCCTAATGTTCTCACTTTTGATGCTGTGGGTCGGGCTGTCGACTTTGAGGTGTGGGTCGATGACCTACAGCTTTTCCTACAGTGCGATAGGACAGATGGTCTCTCCCTGTTCGATCTCACGTCTGGCGCCTCTACTGTCCCTCCTGCCGATGCTGACAGCACTGTTTGCTCACAGTGGGCCACACGTGATACTGCTGCCCGTCTTGCTGTTTGTAGTCACTTGCCGTCCTCTGAGTGCGCGCACTTTGGTCAGTATAAGAGCGCTAAGACCCTGTACGACACTGTATTTGCACGCTACTCTTTCCCTGCCACTGCTGCTCTTAGTCGCCTCATGCTGCCGTACCTGTTCCCTGACCTCACCGCCTTTTCCACGATCGCTGACCTAGTTACGCACCTTCGCACTAGTGACACCCGCTACCACGCTGCGCTTCCTCCTGAGTTCTGCGCCAAGAACCCCCCCCCCCATGTACATCACCCTCTACTACATAGTCACCCGGCTCCCTGACTCCCTTCGCTCGGTCAGGGACCACTTCCTCTCTGTTTGCCCCACCACACTCACCGCTGACCTCCTCGAGGAGCGCCTCCTGGCAGCTGAAAAGAGCATAGTCGCTATAGGAGCCTCTCGTGGTGACCCTCGTACTCCCTTCTTTGAGGGGTGTTCCCCCTCCCCCCTCCTGCCCTCTGTTGCCTCTGCTGCTGCGGCCGACCTCGTTGGCCTCGAGTCGGTCGGAGCTGCGTCTGCCCATGGCGGGAGACGCCGCACCGGCAAGGGTAAAGGGGGCAAGGGTGCTGGAGGAGCTAGCGGGGGCAGTGGAGGTGGCGGTGGAGGCGGTGGAGGGGGTGGGGGTGGTGGTGGGAGTGGTGGCGGGGGTGGGGGCGTCGGTGGCGGCAGTGGAGGCGGAGGAGGTGGCGGCGGTGGTGGAGGGAGCGGAGGAGGCGGAGGTGGCGGCGGCGGTGGAGGTGGTGGCCGCAGCAGTGGGACTGGTCGAGGCGGCTCTGCGCAGAGGGGCGGCTCCGGTGGTGGTCAGCGCTAGCAGTAGTATCGAACTCGTGAGACCCCGTCCCCCCAGCAGCTTCGTGAGTGGTACGCTTCGCGTCAGCGGGGTTGGGGTGCTGGTCCCTGTACCTTCGTCCTGCATACCGGCGACCGTACGGGTGAGCAGTGCGGGGGCCCGCACCCCACCTTGCGCTGCTTCGGCCGCCTGACGGACGCCTGGCATCTCCAGTTCCCTGACGCCACTGAGATCCCTCGCCGGGGAGAGCTGCAGAGGTCGGGGGTTGCTATCTTTGATCTTGATTATGATGCTATTCTTGCTGCCATGTATGCTGTGTCTGCTAGTGATGAGGGTGACTGTTACCTGTGTGTTCCGCCTGACCCGAGCATTGGGACTGCTGCTCTAGGTGCTGGTGAGGCTGCTGCTCTAGGTGCTGGTGAGGCTGCTACTCTAGGTTCTAGTGAGTCTGCTGCCCCAGGTGCTGGTGAGTCTGCTCTCTCAGGTACCACGTCGTCTCAGGCCTCGCACACCTTCACCCTTGACTCGGGTGCTTCCCGCTCCTTCTTTCGAGACCGCACCACACTCACGCCGCTTAGTCGGCCAGTTGCGGTCTCCCTGGCAGACCCCTCTGGGGGTCCTGTCCTTGCCCACTTCTCCACTGTCTTACCGTGTCCGGCGGCCCCTTCTGGCACCCTGTCAGGTCTCTACCTCCCCTCGTTCTCTACGAACTTGGTGAGTGGTGCTGACCTACAGGATGGGGGGGTTGACCAGTTCACTCCTGCGAGTCAGCGAGTGACCCACTGCACGTGTGCTCGGACGGGCCGACACTTCGCCACGTTTACCCGTCGACCGAGGTCGAGCCTGTACACACTGACTACTGAGTCTCCTCCGGTCTCTGCGTCTGGTCAGGTAGCTGCGTCGGGTCAAGTGTCTGCTACGGCGTCCAGGTCTGGTCCTGCGTCTGCCCTCTCCTGTCTCTCCTCCGCTAAACCCTGTGTTAGGGTTTGGGGGTGGCGAGTAAGGGGTGGCAGGTGTGTGGTCTTCCCTACTCCTCCTCCTCCTCTGTCTCCCACTGCTGCAGCTGCCGCTGAGGGGGGTGGGTGTATGGGAGTCGACGGGGTGGTGCAAGGGGGTGGGGTGTGAGTGAACCTAGGGTGCAGCAAGGGGTGTGTGAAAAGGGGGGTGACGTGGGAGTGGAGCTAGGGGTGCAGCAAGGAGTGTGTGAAAGGGGGGTGGGACGGTTGGGGGAGGTTGAATGGAGGCTGTCGTCGTGTCGTCAGCAGCACCAGTAGTCCGGGGCGCTGCCCCGGTAGCCCAGTCGTAGCCAGCTGCGCTAGTCGCCCGTGGGTCCATTGCTCCTGCCGCTCGTCTTAGCCGCAGAGCCAGTTACTCCAGTAGTCCGGGGCGCTGTTCCGGTAGCTGCTGTGCCAGTGTGACTCCTGTTGCCCGTGTGTCTGCAGCTTCAGCTGTCGCCTCCTATCTCCACTCCTCTTACAGTCTCGCCTCCTCCTCACTTGCCCTTTGTGAATGCCTCTAGCTTTGCTTGTCCATTGTGAGCTCCTGCTCTATGCCTGCTTGCTCATTGTGCTGATTACACCCCACTTTGGCTATGGGGGTGTGTCAGAATGTTATAATTGTCTAGCCTGCAGTGGGGTACTCTATAGCGAGTACAACCCAATTAGGGTTTCCTATATGTATGCCAACTGCTGCTAGTGCAAAGCCTCTCTTCTTCATTCCTCATTCTTCACATCTTTGCCTTGGAATATTTTGTTGTGAATCCACTCTAGAGCTGAGCCTCGTAACACTGTTGTTTCAAACCGTATGTGTATCGCGTCTTGGGTGGGGGTCGTGCATTTAACGGCTTCGAAGTAAATTTTGAGTTCAACTACGAATTGACAAACGTCGCTCCCTTTAACCATAGGATCGAACGCCTCTGGTTGCCGCGGCATCGCTGTTTGGAGGTTAACTGTAGCTGTTGCCGTTGTCGCATGTACAACTGTCGGTGTCGCCAATCCTGCTGCTGCTGCTCCTGCTGTCGCTGCTGCATTCGCCGCTGCGTTTGCTGCTGCTGTGGCGGTTGCCGAGTGGTTCGCGAGTAATGCCTCAATTCGTTGGAGTGTTGCCCGCGTTTGGTCCATGTCGGTGCGCAACTCCTTACCATTTTATACAAAATTACTCAATTACTCGTACTTTTTTTTACTTTCACCATTTTCCTCCATTTGGCGATTTTTAGTAAATCCTGGGCGCTGGTCGACTTACTGCGAATCAAATCGACCGTAGAAATGACGAGCGCTGATTTTGTACGTTGTGTAATTCTTGCTGAGTCGAATCCGCGTCCGGTCTCGGCCGTTGAGATGAAATTCAATCCGATGCTCCAAATTCCAATTTTTTCTGGGTCGTTGAGATTCAAATCGATCTGACGGTCACAATTCCAACCTTTTTGCCAATAACCCTTAGGAGCGTTCAAAAACCAGATCGAGGGGGACTTAGAAAAATTGCGCGGAACTGGTTTCACATATTCGAATCGGCGCTTTCGTCGTCGCACCCGCGGTTTATTAAAGGCCGGTTTTTAGCGGTTCAAGATTCGCGTGTAAACCCGCTCTGATCCCAAGTGTGAGGATTGAAGAAACAGGTAATATGATCGCCTGGGTAGAAGACGAGGCTCGACACAAAGGCAGTAACCCGGGTGTTACTAGAAGGTTCCGCGGCGAAATACCTCATCTCAATTCGATAGAAGGCAATTCGGCGGCAACTGAAAAGCCTAGAACTCGGCGCACTCAACCTTTTTCGGCACCTATAACTATTATAACTATAGGAAATCAAGCAAAAGCATGCAAGAGTAAATAAAGCTAAGCTAGATAATGCATAATAAAGCAGAATCAAGCAAGTAAAGCCCAGCAAAGTCGTCGTACTCTCACAATATTTGCCAGGATCTTCTTATCGCATATTGGGTGGTTAAGCTTTGCTCTGCCGAGCCACGCGTCGCTCCTGCTAGTTGCGACGCCCCTGCCGGACCCGCGCGACGTCCCCCCTGCTCGTCGCGGCGCCCCCTGGACGCCGCCCCTACTCGTCGCGTCGCCCCCGGGGCGTCGCCCTTACTTGTCGCGGCGCCCCCTGGGCGCCGTCCCTGCTCGTCGCAGCGCCCCCCCCTCTGAACGCCGCCCCTACTCGTCGCGGCGCCTCGTGGGCGCCGTCTCCACTTGTCGCGGCGCCCCCTGGGCGCCGTCCCTGCTAGTCGCGGAGCCCCCTGCAGCAGCCGCGGCCCTGCCCTGCAGCAGCTGCCGCGGAGCCCCCTGCAGCAGTCGCGGCCCCTCCCTACAGCACTTGCCGCGGAGCCCCCTGCAGCAGTCGCGGCCCCGCCCTGCAGCAGCTGCTGCAGAGCCCCCTGCCGCTGTCGCGAGCCCGGCCCTGCAGCAGCTGCCGCGGAGCCCCCCTGCAGCAGTCGCGGCCAAGCCGAGCCGAGCCGCGCCACCCAGCTGAGCCGCGCGGCTCAGCCGCGCCGAGCCGCCCACCTGAGCCGCATCATTCTGCCAAGCTGTGCGGCCCTGCTCTACTGAGCCGCACTGCCCTGTTTGCACTGCTACTGCTGCTATTGCTATTCCTGCTGTTACTGCTGCTACTACTGCTACTACTGCTACGGCTGCAACTGGAGGTGGCCAGATGCAGCTCTAGCGACGTCCCGTGAGTCCCTTACGCCCCAGCAGCTTCGTGAGTGGTACGCTAGTTGGGGTTGTAGGGGTGGCCGCGGTGGGAGTCGCCTTGGAGCGGGTCGTTCGAGAGCTTCTTGTAGTGGCCAGGTTCAGCTGCAGCGGCGTCCACGCGAGATCCTTTCGCCCCAGCAGCTTCGAGAGTGGTACGCTAGTTGGGGTTGAAGGGGTGGCCGTGGTGGGAGTCGCCCTGGAGCGGGTCGTTTGGGAGCTTCTTGTAGTGACCAGGTGCAGCTGCAGTGGCGTCCGCGCGCGACCCTTTCGCTCCAGCAGCTTCGTGAGTGGTACGCTCAGAGTAGAGGGTCACGGAGTACTGCTCGCTGCCCGTACGTCATTCGCACTGGTGCTCGGGCTGGTCAGCCTTGCGGGACGGTTGGTCACACAGAGTCCCGCTGCTTCTCCTGTCTGAGCGACTCCTAGCGTACAGAGTTTGGCGATGACGCTGAGCTCCCCTCCTGGCTGGAGCTACTTAGGCAGAGGGTAGATATCTTTGCTCTTGACTATGATGCTAACCTTACTGCCATGTATGCATTGCCTACTAGTGCTGAGGGTGCCTGTTACCTGTGTGTGCCGCGTGACCCAAGTATAGAGTCTGCTGCTCTAGGTGCTGGTGCGTCTCCTGCTCTAGGTGCTGGTGAGGCTGCTGCTCTAGGCGCCAGTGAGTCCATTGCTCCAGGTGCTGGTGAGTCTGCTCTCTCTGGTGCTGCGCGTGCTGCGGCCTTGCACACAATCACCCTTGACTCGGGTGCTTCCCGCTCCTTCTTTCGCAACTGCACCACACTCTCGCCGCTTAGTCGGCCAGTGGCAGTCTCTCTGGCTAACCCCCCTCGGGGTCCGGTCCTTGCACACTCCTCCACGGTTCTGCCGTGTCCGGCGGTCCCGTCTGGCTCAATGTCTGGCCTCCACCTCCCCTCGTTCTCCACGAACTTGGTGAGTGGAGCTGGCCTTCAGGACGCGTGGGTTGACCAGTTCACTCCTGGAGGTCAGTGGGTGACCCACTGTTCGTGTACTCGGACGGGCCGGCACCTAGCCACGTTCACCCGTCAGCCTGGGTCGAGCCTGTACACCCCGACTACCGTGTCTCCTCCCGTTGCTGAGTCTGGTCAGGTAGCCGCGTCGGGTCAGGTGTTTGCTGCAGCGTCCTGGTCTGGTCCTGAGTCTGCCCCCTGCTCGTGTTGCCTCCTGTCTCACCAGACTCTCCTCTGGCACCACCGCCTTAGTCACCCCTCCCTGCCTCGTCTCTGAGGCATGGCCTCCCGTGTCCTTGTCATTGGTCTTCCCCGGTCTCTCCCTCCCCTTCCCCTGGGAACTGCCCCTACCTTCGTTCCTTGTGTCAACGGGCGGCAGCACGCCGCTCCTCACTCCTCCGAGTTCCCTCCGACGGAGGCTCCCCTGTAGACTCTTCACATGGACGTGTGGGGCCCAGCCCGCGTCCGTGGACAGGGTCACGAGCGCTACTTTCTGCTGGTCGTTGACGACTATTCGCGTTACACCACAGTCTTCCCCTTGCGCCGCAAGGGTGAGGTCACTGAGGTGCTGATCGACTGGATCCGCACTGCCCGTCGTCAGCTCAGCGAGAGTTTCGGCTCGGACCTTCCTGTTCTGCTTCTGCACTCTAACAAAGGTGGAGAGTTTTCCTCCGACCTTCTGCGAGCCTTCTGTCGTGCGGAGGGCATCCGCCAGACGTTCACGCTTCCGGCCTCTCCGCAGCAAAATGGGATTGCTGAGCGCCACATTGGCATGGTCATGGACGTCGCTCGTACGTCCATGATCCATGCGGGTGCTCCCCATTTTCTGTGGTTGTTCGCAGTTCAGTACGCTACGCATCAGCTCAACCTCTAGCCCCGGTTCTCCATGCCAGAGACCACACCTACTCTGTGGTGGACGGGGAAGGTTGGCGATGCGTTAGCGTTCCGTGTATGGGGATCTCAAGCTTTCGTCCGCGACTTTTCTGCGGACAAGCTGTCCTCCCGTGTTGTTCCCTGCGTCTTCCTTGGCTTCCCCCCTGACGCGCTTGGTTGGCAGTTTTACCACCCCACCTCGCGCCGTGTTCTGTCCTCTCAGGACGTCACGTTTGACGAGTCAGTTCCTTACTACCGTCTCTTCCCCTACCGCACTGCCCCCCTCCCCCACCCGCCCCTCTTCCTTGCACCCGGTCCTCCCCCGGTAGACCCCCTCCCACCTCAGGGTCCTGCCCCCTCAGGTG